TGTGTGTGTGTGTGTGTGTCCGTGTACTTTGTGTGTGTGTGCGCGCTTTGTGTGTGTCTATATGTATATATGTGTGTGTGTGTATATATATGTGTGTGTGTGTGTGAATGTTCGTGTGTGTATATAATGTGTGTGTGTTTTTTTTCAAAGTATAGATGCTGCAGTGAGGACCAGACATACCAGAGAAGTCTAAGAGCCTAAAACTTCAATCTAAGCACCAGGTAGGCGCGCACACACACACGCACACACACACACACACACACAAACATATATATATAGAGAGAGACTTTTTTTGCTGAATTCACACTTCATATTAAGCCATAGTGTGGTATCACAGTGTGATTTTTTTTTGCTTAGCTTTTTTTAGATGGTAAGCCACAATTGCTTTTTCAATAAGACACTGTTAAAATAAGTGAAATTTAAAACAAGCTTTGAAGAAATTATAGTAATTTATTAGGACCTCTTTGTAATAAGAGTGTTACAGGAGCTGGAAACCACAGCTCATTAAATCCTAGGGTCAATGTGCCCTGCCCACAATCCTGCTAATATATCTCAAAATTTATGGCTCTTAGACTCTTTGCAGTTGCTATTGAAGAGAAGGCTGCTGCTGGGTGGCTGGCAGTCTCCCAAAGTCTAAAGTTATCTGTTCTGCTTACTTCTTTGTCATCAGGACATGGAGGGGGGGTTCTCTTGGTTTCAAAGAGCAGGTGACAGCCATGGTCTTTGAACAGATGCATCTTGTGCATCAATTGCACCTGCTCTGGAGTGGGGGGCCTTTTTCATGGTGATTCATGTCTTAGCCACCCTTTTACTGGATTACGGAAATATGCTCTGTATGGGCTGGTTCTTGAAGAGTATTTTGGAAACTGTAGCTGGTCCAGAATGACAATGCAGGCATTTCTTTGCATCTCTTGTTCTGCTGCAGTGGTTCCCAGTAGGCTTCTAAAACCAATTCAAGGAGCTGATTACTACTTATAAAGCTCTGCATGGCGTAGGCCAAGCTATTTGTGGGAGCATTCATTCCCCATTGGTTCTACCAGCTCTTCCAGGTCTAACAGGGATAGCAAGCTCTGGATCCCTTCAAACAATGCCATCTTGTGGGACCATGGAATATTGCTGTGCCTACACTAAGGAGTGGCATTTCCCTCCCCCAGAGATCCAGATGTCCTCAACCCTATTACTTTTTGTAGGACACTGAAGACCTGGCTGTTCCTTTAGGATTTTAGGCTAGGCAGTTAAGTAAGTACTTTGTTGGGGTTATTGTTTAATTGGGGTGTCATGAGTTTCTACTTTTGTGATGGTTTTTAATATTATCCAAAGTCACTTCTGCAGAATTGATAGCTCCATACATTGTTTAAATAAATTAAGCCACAATTTTCTTCATATCTGTTAGTCCGATCATTTAAAAAAACTCTCAAAATTCAGCACAATACATGGATAACCAGCCTTACTAAAATTTAGGCAAAGTCTTTCCTTTAACACCCTTCATATCTTTGCAGCCATAAGTCAATAAGGTTTCAGGTGAACCTTAAAAAGGAGCCCATTCTGTCTGCAATCTGACTCATCCTAAGTGTTTCTCTATTTGCATTCTATCCTATCACCTGTGTGCCTCATTGTTTTCACCTATTGAGTAAAGCAGTTACATTGTTTAGAGGGATACTCAGGAGAAATTGTGTCAATTGCGACCCCCGTGTTCTGTAAACTGACCAGGATTTCAGCAACAGTATCAGCAGACTGAGAAAATCTGCAGTGCATTCAGGAAGCTTGTATCAGGCCCCACAGAGGTTCATAGCAAATTGCTTTCTGAAAGTGACCGTGGAATGGATCTGCCCATCACAACAGAACTACAAAGATTGTTTCTATTTTCAGATCACTGAGTCCCACTGAATCCAAATTGGAGTGAAATTAAATGCCAAATCCAGTTTGTGCCCTACTGCAGATCTACCAGTCAGGAATAGGTCTCTGATCATCATGGCAGGCATGAAATCCTGAGCTGCTCTTAAGTAGGCAATGTTAGGATGATATTGAAGCCCTCCAGGATAAGAGGTGAATTGTCTATTCTGCCATCAAAGATCATTCAGAATAGGTCAAGAAGAGAAAGTATTATCCAGAGGAAGGACAGAATACCCACGGTATCTTTTTAGCCGCTCAGATATAGTAGTAAATGTTTGAAAATTAGAAGACTGACATGGAAGCGTTCCAGGCTTAAGATCCAGATGGATCTTGACAGACTAGAACACTGGGCCATTATTAAACAAAATGAAATTCAGTGTAGAGAAAAGTAAAGTCCTACACTTTCACC